ATTTTTTTTTTTTAAAAACACATGACCCAGCACTCATACCCATTTGAGTTAAAAACTTAATGCCCACATACAAGCTTGCACATGTTAGGCAGCTTCGTTCATAATTACCAAAAACTAGAAGAAATTGAGAAGCCCCTTAATATGTGATTGACAAAAAAATGGATACATTCATATAATGGACTGTTATTCTGTGATAAAAGAACTAAGCTATTGAGACACCAAAACCATGAAGGAATTTATTCTCTTTAGATAGATAGGAAATTATATGACATTCTAGAAAAGGCGGAACCATCAAAACAGTAAAAAGGTCAGTGGTTGCCAGGGGGAGGGGGGAGATGAACAGGTGAAGCACAGTGGATTTTAGGTGTTGAGACTATTTTTATGGTGCTGTAATAGCAGGTAAATGGCATTATGCCTTTGTCAAAACCCATAAGCTGTGCAATGTCAAGCGTGAACCTTAATGTAAAGTAGGACTTTAGTTACTCATAATGTATCGATATTGGTTCATTAATCATAGCAAATGCAGCACATCAGTGCAAGATATTAATAAGGACAATTGTGTTAGGTTGGGAGGAGGGGTATATGGGAACTCTGTACTATGCACTCAAATAGAAAAAAACTTAAAACATCACATTTATTTTAAGAGGCCAGAACTTTGGGGTGTGATGATATCATTTATGAAATGATTTGGAAACTCCTTTTTCAGATCACCTTAACAAACTGTGATAAGAAGCAAAAGTTATTTTTTCTTAGAGTTTCTGAAATAATCAAGTCATTAGAAGGTGACATAAGTGAAAAATTTATTTATACACCTTTCTAAACTTTTGTTTATAAATAGAATTTCAGTTTTAAAAACTGAAATTAATTAGGTTTATGGCATGACCTATTTGTGAAAGATGGATTCCAAAAAGGTTATGAGCAATGACAGTGTTATTAGCATACTGCATCGTTTCCCAATATATTGATGTGGAAAACTGCCTTCATTTAGATGTCCAAATACTGATTTTAATAAAATTTTTCAGGAATGTTAATATACTCCCTCATGCACACACACAAAAATAAGGAAACAATGGTTAAGAGAGATGAGGGGCCAGGAAACAGGACCCTGATGGGAGAGATGGGTGAGAAGAGAAGAAATGCATGGGACCACAGGGGGAGTATGGAAAAGGGAAGGAATGCCTGTTGGTTTGTAAGGCATCTTACTTCTGGTGCAATACATAGTGTTAGAACTAGGTCAACATTAAACTTATAATATTCATGTTCACATTATTTTCTTATAGAATACAAATGACACTCTGCTATAAATTACATTTTGTGAAACAATTCTGGAGTGATCCCCTCTACTGCTCAGCATGGCCTGAAGGCCAAGGGTACATCTCCTTTGTCCACCAAGCTCTTCTTTCTCAGAGATTCTTCTCACACAGAGCCACACCCGCTGTACTTTAAGTTGCCCTAGAGTGCCTCTTAAGACTTTACACAGAAAACCTTCTGGTAAGTGATTTAGAAATGGATCAAGTAAACAAAGAATATCAGTTTCCAGTGCATGCCATGGCTGTCAGAAGCACAGCTGGAGCAGGGAGCTCTGAATGCAGCTTCCATCTGAGCAACTTAAGTCTCTCCTTGCCCGGGAACAGTGGAAAGGATGCCACTGAGAGCCATACCCCTTTTGAGGAATGAAAATGGCATTTGGCCTTGCAGGTTGCAGGGCATGATGCCTTGTGTTGCTTTCGGTCCCAACAAGGTTCCTTATCACAATGGAATCCCATCAGATTCTTGCGGATATAATGTATATCAACAATTCTGAATTTTCTACAGACTACAGAGACCTAAGTATACTACTAACACTTATACTCATTTAGCTCTGATTTTTTTTCCTATCATATTTCCCCAACTAAATAGTAAATTCCTTAAAGTCAGGAAATACGTGTCTTCTATTTTTGGCTCCTAACACCACTCTTAATTGAAACACAGGGTGTGCTGAAGAAATGTTTAATTAAATTTTTAAAAGTTTCACATAGATTTAATTCACACCTAAGTAAATATATTCAAAAGCATATGTGGTACGGGATGTAAATTTGTTGTAATTCTCCCTTTCCTGCTTGAAAGGATTATTCTTGTTCTAAAATCAATTTCAAAACTATACGTTAAAATAAACATAACTGCCTTTCATTTTTATTTTCTCCAAGGTTATTGCAAATCCTCTCATATTAATGTCACGTGCTATCACTGTACACTTACCTACAAGCTCAGGGATATGTGAAGATAGCTATTATAATACATGAGCATGTGGATTTTTAGAATTTCTCTAGACTCTGTCTATATGAGTATTTAGGTGTACTTTTTATTCAGCATTGATTCATATTTTGACATATGTGTGAATATATCTAGAAATAAAACAAAATCTGACCAAGACATAAAACAGACTTTTGATAGAACTGTTGCCTTTCCACAATACAACTTACACAGAAATGGTTGAAAATGAAATCCTCGTTGCAGGCTTTCAACTTCCAGCCATGTTAACGTAACTGGGGTCAGACTTGTCATCTTGCTGTTCAAGGAAAATAACCTGCAAACTGGTCAAAATATCAGATAAAACTATATTCAGGTGGTGGAACACAGGCAGTACCGGACAGTGGTCCAGGAGGAGAAAACAATTGTGATGATTCCTATACTTATCCTGATGATAAAAGCCTGAAGATTTTTTTTTGAAATCCTCAGCGAGGAGAGAGAGAGAGAGAGAGAGAGAGAGAAACATTGATTGGTTGCCTTCTGTATGCTCCCTGACTGAAGATCAAACCCACAGTCCAGGCATGTGCCCTGACTGAGTATTGAACCTGCAACCATTCAGTGCATGGGGCAACACTCAAGCAACTGAGCCACTCTGGCCAAAGTCTGAAGAATTTTTTAATGGACCATAGTGCAGGTAAACAGAACTCAAGCAGAACTCGGACAACAAATTTGGAGTTTAGGGAGGCCAGAAAAACTTGAATTTTCATGCAGAGACACAGGACTATCCAGAACATATCTCCAGAAATCTGAATAGGGGTTCCTGAACATAACATTGCACATGCATAGGATAAAACTCCACAAGGAAACCACCGGCATCCTGTAACATGAAGAGTTCTCAGAGCTCCCACAGGGCTGGGCGTGTATTTACAGTCTGTCAGAGTAGAGTTCTTGTTGAAAATGCAGGGTATTCAAAATGGACACTTAAAAATGTATGCCTTAGTCGTAGAGTTAAACTAGCTGTAGAGTAAAAGCTATTCTAGACCTGCCCTAATAGTGCTTAAAAGCAAGACTCCAAGGTATCAAGCTGATGTGTAAGTTATATAACTACCTGTCAGAACCACGTTCACTAGTGTTTAAAAAGAAGACAACAAAATAAAACATCCAATTATGTGTAAAAATAATCTATATCAAACGTCTGGAAATGAAAACAACAATGTTGAGAAGGCTAGCATATAATCAAAACTTACTAAACACGCAAAGAAGCAAAACAATAGCCATTATCCAGGAGAAAACAAATGCAGAAACAAAAATAATAGAATTAGCAAAGACATTATATGAATTTTTATAAATCTACTCAGGACTTAAAAGAAGATGTAACCTCATAAAGAAAGAAGAGGGCATTATAAAAACATTGCTTTTAGAATTCAAAAATATCTGAAATTTTACAATTCACTACATAAGAAAAGGCCACTAAAATTAAAGGTACATCAACACAAACTGACAAATGGAAGAAAAAATAGAAGAAAAAAAAAACCCACAGGGAAAATGAACTGAGACGGAAGGACCTGTGGATCAAGTGGCCTAATGTACATATAATTGAAGTCCCAGAAGAAGGGTGGTAATAAAAATATTTCAGTAATAATGGCCTTTTAAAAAAAAACTGGTGAAATCTATAATTGTAACACAAACCAAGCACATAAAACAAAAGAAAACTATATCCAGGCAAACCATAATCAACTTGCAGGAAAACAGCCATAAAGATAAATTCTTAAATGCAACTAGGAAGAAAGTGGGCACACTACATGTTAAGCAATGAAGTTGAAAATAGTTTTATATTTCTTGACAGAGAATGTGCAAGCCAGATGTATTACTTTGCTATGGCTGCCATGACAGTGCCACAGACTGTGTGGCTTAAACAACAGACATTTATTCCCTCACAGTTCTGGAGTCTAGTGGTCCCAGATCAAGGTGTTGGCAGGCTGGTTATCTTCTGAGGCTTCCCTCCTTGACTCGTGGATGGCCATCATCTTCTGGTGCATTTACAAAGGCTTCTTTCTATATGGCCCTATCTCCAAATACAGTTGCATTCTGAGGTACTGGGGGTTAGAACTTCAACATACGAATTTTGGGAGGGCACAATTTCGGCTCACAATGCCAAATAATGAAATGACATTTTTGAAATGGTAAATGACAATGAAAACTCTATAATTATAAAACCAGTGAAAATGTCATTCAAAAATAAAGGAAAAATAAGAACATTTCATACAAATTGAAGCTAAGAGAATTCATTGGGCCACAAAAACTTCTGCAAGTGTAAAGAAAGCAATACCTGATTCCGAGCAAGATGGCGGCATAGGTAAACACCGGAGACTGCTGCCGCAAACAAGCACTTATAATCAACTTGCAGGAAAACAGCCATAAAGATAAATTCTTAAATGCAACTAGGAAGAAAGTGGGCACACTACATGTTAAGCAATGAAGTTGAAAATAGTTTTATATTTCTTGACAGAGAATGTGCAAGCCAGATGTATTACTTTGCTATGGCTGCCATGACAGTGCCACAGACTGTGTGGCTTAAACAACAGACATTTATTCCCTCACAGTTCTGGAGTCTAGTGGTCCCAGATCAAGGTGTTGGCAGGCTGGTTATCTTCTGAGGCTTCCCTCCTTGACTCGTGGATGGCCATCATCTTCTGGTGCATTTACAAAGGCTTCTTTCTATATGGCCCTATCTCCAAATACAGTTGCATTCTGAGGTACTGGGGGTTAGAACTTCAACATACGAATTTTGGGAGGGCACAATTCGGCTCACAATGCCAAATAATGAAATGACATTTTTGAAATGGTAAATGACAATGAAAACTCTATAATTATAAAACCAGTGAAAATGTCATTCAAAAATAAAGGAAAAATAAGAACATTTCATACAAATTGAAGCTAAGAGAATTCATTGGGCCACAAAAACTTCTGCAAGTGTAAAGAAAGCAATACCAAATAAAAATTCAGATACACAAAATTAAGGACTTCTGCTTCCAGCAAAGATGCAGTAAAAGATCAGAATTATCCTCCTACGTGAAACTATATGAAGCAGACAAAATATATAAAATAAGAATTTAGAAGATATTGTACGTGCGGTAATAAAGGTCAATGACCCTGAGAGGCAGGAATCAAATGAGGTGAGTTTCCATACTGTAGGGCAGGAAGGGGAAACCCAGTCATAGCTCAGGAATTCTGTGACTTAAGGAGATAGAGGTGAGAGTCTAGTGAAACCAAAGTAGCTAGAATTTTCAGGACAGAATACCTGAGAGAAGAGAGCTACAAGGAGAAAACTCTGGAATCTGCAGAGAGTCGCCTGCAAGTATGTAGCTGAGTACTGATTGGTGTATGTGGGTGAGAAAACTACTTGAGGCTGTAGAAAGAATCACTTAAAACAATTCAGGTAATAATGCCTGGGACTCCCACAAGGATGGGAAGAGTTCTTATTCCCACCAGCCATATGGGAAAACCCTCATGATTCACGAGGCAGTGGGTAAAGGACACAGAAAGAATAATTAGCTCTGAATGGAACACTGGTCCATTATCACCGAACAAATCTTAAAAAGCAAGACCTGGAAGGACCTAATTGTTTCCAAGTAAATTAATTGTGTTCCAGAATAAAACTCAAAAAAATATTTATATAAATACAAAAACTATCCAGCACCTCACAAAATAACATTCACAATGTTTGACATCCAGCCCAAACTGAAGGGTAGGGAAACATGACCTATAATGAGATTGATCAATCCATAAACACTGCTCAGAATTGACACAGAGAAGAAAGAATTTTAAAATATTAAAAGAGCACTAGTAAACTAAGGGACAAATTAGAGCACCTCATGCCAATGGTCTAACCAGAGTCCCTGAAAGAGAGGACAAGTGAGAAAGCATTTTTGAATAAATAATGGCTAAAACATTATTTAAATTTGTTTAAAATTATAAACTTACAGATCCATGAACCCCTAGTGTAAGAAATATTAACAGTATTTCTCAACACCAGTAGTAAAGAAAAACATCTAAGAAGCAGTCAAAGAAAAAAAAAGCACATTCTCTACACAGGAACAAAGATAAAGATGACAGCAGATATCTTATCAAAATCGATGTACATGAGAAAAGAGTAGGATAAGTTCTTTAAAATAGTAAAAGGGGAAAAAAAACCTTTGCAAACTTAGAATTTTATATCCAGTAAAAAATATCTTTCAAAGGTAAAGACAAAAATAAACACTTTTAAGTACAAAAGCTGAATTAATCATCAGAAAATCCACATTTACAAGAAATGTCAAAAGAAGTCCTTAAACCAGGAGAAAAATGATACTAGATAGAAATATCGATCTAAAAAAGGACTAAAGCACATGAAATGTTGCTTAACATGATTATTCATTAGAGAAATACAAAGTAAGACAAAGTAAAACCACTACACACCTAACACCTATTAGAATAACTACAATAAAAAGAGTGACCATTGCCCTAGCTGATTTGGCTCAGTGGATAGAGCATCGGCCTGTGGACTGAAGGGTCCCAGGTTTGATTCTGGTCAAGGGCACATGCCTGGGTTGCGGGCTTGATCCCCATTTGGGGACGTGTAGGAGGCAGCCGATCGATGATTCTCTCTCATCATTGACATTTCTATCTCTCTTTCCCTCTCCCTTCTCTCTGAAATCAATAAAGATATATTTTAAAAAAA